CAGAATATAATTTAGTAATTATTATTATTATTATTATTATTATTATTATTATTATTACTACAAATAAAAAACTAAACTTTATAGTCCCTCTGTCCCAATATAGTTATCTTTTTTTTCAATTAATCAATAGTTTAGGGATAATAATTGTATTTATATATAATACTCTTTAAAAGAAATAAAAAATAAAGAGAGACTTTTGTGATTGGATAATTAATTAAAATGAATGTATAATGATAGGAAAATTATTGGTATACTTTTCGGTTCAGTTATTAAAACTTACCTTTGAAAATTTTTCCCTGTTAAATTCAAATTTGAAAATATTAGTTTCTTAATAATTGAACTGGTGAGTGTTATTAGGTGTATTGAACCAGAGGATGTACCAATCATTGTCCATAATAATGAGATTAATATAAGAACAAGATATTTGTGTACCTTGATAAATAAAAAAATGATAATTAATTTGGATTTCAAATTTAAAATAAAAAAACTATACTTATTTTGGGACAAAGAGAGTATATAGACTAAAGAAAAGTTAGGCCAATAAAGTAGTCAAACTTAGAGCATATATTTAAGAAAAAGGTTTAGATAAAAATAAATTTTTTTTCATTTTTTATTAAAGAATATAAATTTTTTGGGCTTTTAAGTAAGATAGTAAACTTTCACTTTCTCTATTTGTGAATATGAACTTTGCCATATTTCGATTAAGATTGTCATTTGCTACATCATCATCATTAGCTAATGAATCCTTAAATAGAAAAAGACACAAAGTTCATATCTTTATTTGAAAAAAAAATTAAAAGTTTATTGTCAAATTTAAAAACCTAGAAGTTCATATTTTTAAGTGTAAAAAAAAAATTCGTATCTTTGCCTATACATTTTCACTGTATATTCTTGTTCAAATTTACTGAGTGAGGTCAAAGTTGACATAAACTAAATTCCAGCTTTTAGTCTGAGATAAAACGGCAATCGAAGTCCAAATGTGACTTTGATTTCACTAATTAAAAACTTGAGCCTTCTTATTGGATTTATTAAATTCAAATTTTGTAATAGATAAAAAGAGATATAAAATTATCTTTTATTATATAATTTTATGAGAAGTGCTAAGGACACGCGCCTCCTGCACTCTCCGGCTAACACTTTCACTTTTATTGGGCCACATTATTTTGGTTGGTAAGAGTTGCTCCTCAAAGCCTGAAACAAGCTTACGTGGCCCAATGAAAGGCAAAGTGTTGGTCGGAGAGTGCACGAGGTGAGTGCCCTTAGCAGTGCTCATAATTTATTGTTTGACATGACAAAAAAGCAAGGCAATGAAAGATATAATAATTTTGTTACATATCACTTTTCACTGATTTAATTACTTATTTTTCTAAATCTAACTCCAACAAGCACAATTATATCTATTTAAACCTCAATTTCTTCTAAAGTGATGAACCTAATATGAGAGAATCAAATATAAAAATTGATAGTACCAATAAAATTGAAAGTTCATAATTTATTTGAAAATAAATGTTCGGGCAAAATTTGACATTTAACCTAAGAACAAACCTAATTGCCCTATCAAATCCTAGACATTTGAGTCTTCATATCTTACTCATATCTAAACCCTTTAAAGCATGTAATATATCAAAAGAAAGCCTAGTGATCTATCCACTCAAACTAATTTCATAAAAAGAAAGCTTAGTGAGAAAGCTTAGCATGTTAAATTTTCATATGAAATTATTGTCCAAAAAATAAAAAAATCAAATTAAAACTACTAAAAATGATCAAAGTATGATTCAAATTATACTAAATTGTACCATATTATAAATAAAGACTTGATTGAGAAATGAGACTCTGAAATTCAGGACCCTTCTTTTCTTAGGTTTAATTTTGTACAATCCAAACTGTGCAAGATAGTACAAATATTCCCATATATAGTAACAATACGAAACATTCCTATAGTAACAATGATAAAAAGTTAAAAACATTTAAGTGAATTATATGCAGTACCTTTTTCCATAAAATCAATTCGTCCTAGCCCTCTTAGATTCAGATCTTGCCGGTATGGTGCGCTCCCTCCAACAAAATTCCTGGCAGAATATTTAATAACAATAATTATTACAAATAGAAACTAATTTTTATAAATAGAGAAAATAAAAGTCAAATATTAAGAAAAGACCAAGTTAAGTTAAACCTCAAGTTATTGTTATTTTTAAACGAGTTCCAACTTCTAGTCTAGACTATATAAAAAAGCAACGGAAAATATAATAATTTTGTTGCGTATTATCTTTTCATTAATTTGCTTAGCTAAATTTAATGATTGTTCCATTAATTGTTAATATAATTAAATTGTGGCTATAGCCCATGCTAGTATTGTTAAAGCCACAAAAACTTTGATATATATATATATATATATATATTGTAAATGATTAGTTATCGTATTTGAAAATATTAGTATGTAAACTGATTTTAATCTATTAAATAATGAATATATATTATTTTGTCATCTATCAATTAACAATTACAATTATCAATTATTTTTAACAATTAAATCAAACAAAATCAGTATTTTAAAATACAATATTTAAAAGTTTGTGTGGTCGTCGTAACATTTTGATGTCTGGCCATAATCTTGTTTGTTAATATATACATTAAGGTGATGTAGGAAATTTTATTCGTTTTTCAGATCTAGTTTGTGCACACGTAACTCCGGCCCATATGGCACTAGAAAAATTATATTTTAACTATCAAAAATAGTAACTGAAGATTTGGAAAATAGCATTATCAATTGCCTAAGATGAAAAGAAAATTAAGAAAGTAAGGGACATGTGGTTGATTATGCATTAAAATGTAATTTTCTTGTATTATGTGATACCTATGTAGTGCTATGTAGTTATTTTAGTGGAATTATGTTAGGACTAACAGAATTTCAGCAGATGGAATGGAACATTTAAGAGTAGGGATCCATTAAATATTTATTTAAGGTTTTAAATGAATATTAAATTACTCAATGAGTATTTATTTTGAATGACTAAAAAGAAACAAGGAAAAAGATGTGGAAATAAAGATTTAAAAATTCTTTATTTTATTAAAAGTCAAAAAAATCCTTATTTTTATAAAATACTTTTTTTGATGAAAATTTCATAGGCGCATATTTTATTTCACTTGAAATCAAGGAACTTTACAAAAACATCCAGATTACGGCATTTCCTTTGTGACACCTTTATAAAATACTTTTAGTTTAATTTGATAACTACTCATTCTAATTTGCCGGTTTCACTTTAAAATTAAGGACAACGTTACAAAATTGGTGGGCGGTTGTTGGTGGGAATGCAATGGGCAAGTGCTCTTAGCACTGCTCTTTAAAATTAATGACAACGTGGCAAATTTTGGATTCGTTTTTTTTTTTTAATATTAATTTATTATTATTTAATTTACTTGCATAATTTTCTGTTGATGTCTTTTCCCATCAATTCACCTTAATGTGACTCAAATTCTTAATAAATGGTATTAAAATTAAAGAGAGAAATTTAAATCCCAACAGCAGATTACACAACCTAGCGCAATGACAATGTATTGCAAAAAGATGTGAAGAAAAATAAAAACGACAAAAGACATGAAGTAAGTTTTTGCTATATACATAAGGTTAAAACAATGGTGTTTTTCAGTATAGATTATATTTTTTTATATAGTTTGGGTGCTAAAATTATTAATATATTTTTAATTAATAAATGTGGAGAGTAT